CTGCCCATTTTCCCCAGGCTTTGGAGATTTATCTTTGGATGATATGGGATGGAATCCGAAGGCCAAGATGAAAGGAATTGTCATGAATTTACCTTGGGATACACTGGATCAGTTTTTTGGATACATGAGTTTGGAGAATCTGAGAATACACCTACTCAGACTGCTCAGACACCGCAGAAGTTTTGCTAGAATTCAAGCAAGTTCTGACTTGTGGCACTGATCAGTGGCACAGATCGAGGCGATATCTCCGACGCTGATTCGGTGATACGCACATTGCTCCATCCGCCAGGGGGTGTTGCGGACGTCAGAAAGTGAAGGACAAAGGAGGAGCAGTGAGATAAAATCTAGAGGTCCTCACCTGACTGATGGGAACGCATGACATGAGGGTTGTCCTGTTTCTTCAATTTAAAAACTGCATTTGGGCCAGCATTCAGCAAACCATGACTTGTGCCTATATTGGGCACCCACACCCCTACTTCTAAATACGTCTAACTGCTCACCTCATTTTTGTGCAAAAGTTTTCGCACACCATTTGCATGTGTGCTTTCCCCACACCTCTGAGTCATCGTCCAAAAATACTTGTTGCTTCCCGTCAGTACTTTGGACATCTTCTAATGAGGATTTCTTCCCATAACAACTTCTTCTGTCCATGCAACAAAGGGATGAGCCACCTCAGGAAAAGGCAAGGATTACATGTAGAATCTGCCGCGAATCTTGCACGCAGGCTTTATCGCTCAAATCCTAGAGTAACTTGGCAAAATAGCACAACGTATCCCTACAGTACCAATTTTTTCTCAGCGCAAACCTTGGGCCGGCTTTGTGCAAATTTTGCGTGATGCTGATTTTGAGCTACTTGTATACAAGCTGCTCCAACATGTACCCCTTTTTGTATCCGCCGACCGCGGCCAGCAGAAGGGGGATGGCGCCAGGGAAAAAGATGTTGCCCCTACTACTTGCCCCTACTACTACTTCTACTTCTACTTCTACTTCTACTACTACTACTACTACTACTAGTACTACTACTAGTACTACTACTACTACTACTACTACTACTACTTCTACTTCTACTACTGGTACTAGTAGTAGTACTACCGTAGATGGACGAATTATTCAAACCCTTGTAATCCAATTACCCCCCGCACCCCCAATTACAATGTTGTTTTTTGGTTTGGTTCGCTCCTTCGAATCGACGAAATAAATCAAACCCTAAGATCAGGGACAAAGATACGAAACCATAACGTTGAAATTTGGGGGGACAGGGGGTAGCCTACAACTCATGGATGCGGGGTTTGAATAATTTGTCCATCTACCGTCTCATGCGCTTACTTTCTCATCATGGTTTTGCATTTTTCTGGCGTCTGTTTTTGCTAAGAATTCACAAATTATATTCTCCCAAAGTGTCACAATAAGTCCAAAAGCAAGCCCAGTGACAACGCCACAAAGGTGAATGATAAGGCCCATGATGAATCCTCGATGTATTCATTTCTCTCGCAACTATGCATTGTCAATGCACAACCTGTCACCACCTGTTGTTTTTTAAGCAAAGAAGTCACCCCATGATTGAAAAGCAAAGCCAGTCACAACGCCACAAAGTGGATGATGAGACCCACAATGTATCCCTCAATAGCTTTATTTCTTCCATTTCTTTGCATTGACAAGACACCTGCTGTTTTTCAAAAAATAACTCATCACATGATATCGCCATAATAGTGGATGATAAAACCCACTTCAGCTGGCCGTGTCGCGCAGGTCCTCCCACATGCTGCGCTTTTCCAGTTCCCATTCCGGCCGGGCTTGCAACTGCCGTGTTTTTCCAGTTCCCTTTCCCGGGCGTGATTGAAAATGCTGTGTTTTTTCCCGGGTGTGATTGAAAACGCTGTGTTTTTCCAGTTCCCTTTCCCGGGCGTGATTGAAAATGCTGTGTTTTTCCACTTCCTTTTCTTCAGCGTGTGCGAAGGCCTGTGTTTTTCCAGTTCCCTTTCTCTTTCCCAGTTCCCTTCCAGTTCCCTTCCAGTTCCCTTCCCAGTTCCCTTCCCAGTTCCCTTCGCGGATTCCCTGCGTTTTTCCAAGGAAAGTGTGCTGCGACTTTTTTTAAAATAAAAACAAAGATGTTTTCTTTTTTAAAGAAAAAAGTTGCAACGCACTTTCCTTGGAAAAACACAGGGAATCTGCGAAGGGAACTGGGAAGGGAACTGGAAGGGAACTGGAAGGGAACTGGGAAAGAGAAAGGGAACTGGAAAAACACAGGACTTCGCACACGCTGAAGAAAAGGAAGTGGAAAAACACAGCATTTTCAATCACCCCCGGGAAAGGGAACTGGAAAAACACGGCATTTTCAATCACACCCGGGAAAGGGAACTGGAAAAACATAGCAGTTTCAATCATGCCCGTGAAAGGGAACTGGAAAAACACTGCATTTTCAATCACGCCCAAGAAAGGGAGTTGGAAAAACACAGGAATTGCAATCATGCCTAAGGAAGGGAGTTGGAAAAGGACAGCAGTTGCCATCATGTCTAAGGAAAGGAAATGGAAGAAGGCCGGAACTGAAGCAGCAAAGCGCATGTAAAGACAACATCTCACGGAACAGAAAAAACAAACTACAAACTAGGAAAAATTACCCTTCACATTCTCTCCACTCCTGCTGACCACCGCTCCCCGTACCGTCTCATGCGCTTACTTTCTCATCATGGTTCTGCATTTTTCTGGCATATGTTTTTGCGAAGAATTCACAAATTATATTCTCCCAAAGTGTCACAATGAGTCCAAAAGCAAGCCCAGTGACAACGCCACAAAGGTGAATGACAAGGCCCATCATGAATCCTCGATGTATTCATGTCTCCCACAACTATGCATTGACAATGCACAACCTGTCACCACCTGTTGTTTTTTAAGCAAAGAAGTCACCCCATGATTGAAAAGCAAAGCCAGTCACAACGCCACAAAGTGGATGATGAGACCCACAATGTATCCCTCAATAGCTTTATTTCTTCCATTTCTTTGCATTGACAAGACACCTGCTGCTTTTCAAAAAATAACTCATCACATGATATCGCCATAATAGTGGATGATAAAACCCACTTCAGCTGGCCGTGTCGCGCAGGTCCTCCCACATGCTGCACTTTTCCAGTTCCCATTCCGGCCGGGCTTGCAACTGCCGTGTTTTTCCAGTTCCCTTTCCCGGGCGTGATTGAAAATGCTGTGTTTTTCCAGTTCCCTTTCCCGGGCGTGATTGAAAATGCTGTGTTTTTCCAGTTCCCTTTCCCGGGTGTGATTGAAAACGCCGTGTTTTTCCAGTTCCCTTTCCCGGGCGTGATTGAAAATGCTGTGTTTTTCCAGTTCCCTTTCTCTTTCCCAGTTCCCTTCCAGTTCCCTTCCAGTTCCCTTCCCAGTTCCCTTCCCAGCTCCCTTCGCGGATTCCCTGTGTTTTTCCAAGGAAAATGCGTTGCGACTTTTTTTAAAATAAAAACAAAGATGTTTTCTTTTTTAAAGAAAAAAAGTTGCAACGCACTTTCCTTGGAAAAACACAGGGAATCTGCGAAGGGAACTGGGAAGGGAACTGGAAGGGAACTGGAAGGGAACTGGGAAAGAGAAAGGGAACTGGAAAAACACAGGACTTCGCACACGCTGAGGAAAAGGAAGTGGAAAAACACAGCATTTTCAATCACGCCCGGGAAAGGGAACTGGAAAAACACGGCATTTTCAATCACACCCGGGAAAGGGAATTGGAAAAACATAGCAGTTTCAATCATGCCCGTGAAAGGAAACTGGAAAAACACTGCATTTTCAATCACGCCCAAGAAAGGGAGTTGGAAAAACACAGGAATTGCAATCATGCCTAAGGAAGGGAGTTGGAAAAGGACAGCAGTTGCCATCACGTCTAAGGAAAGGAAATGGAAGAAGGCCGGAACTGAAGCAGCAAAGCGCGCGTAAAGACAACGTCTCACGGAACAGAAAAAACAAACTACAAACTAGGAAAAATTACCCTTCACATTCTCTCCACTCCTGCTGACCACCGCTCCCCGCATAGTACTAGTACTAGTACTAGTACTAGTACTACTACTACTACTACTACTACTACTACTACTACTACTACTACTACTACTACTACTACTACTACTACTACTGAGAACTCTTCAATATCTTTAATCCAGACTCTCCGACTGAAAATGCGGAAACGGATGAAACATGATGAAACATGATGAACCATGATGAAACATGATAACGAAACGTGAATACAAAATAATACGAATCAATATTTGAAGCTGCCAATGGCTTCATCCCGTCCTCGGGCATGGCTTGAGAAGGCGCCTTGGGTTGAGACAGAACCAGGACTTCGAATGCCGCTTCCAGCTGCGGACCCTGTCTGCTTGGGGGTGACCCTTATTGCATTATGGCAGTATACATCAATATACATTAATCAATAATTATACCACAATATTTACCATAATATACCATACTATAACCCAGGTGTTCAGTGGAATTGCACCCCCAAGTAGCACCTCTGCACCCCAGCGCGGTGCTTCAGGATGTGCCTCAGAAAGACCCCAAATTCAAACGAGGCAGAGAGAAGAAGAACACCTGGCACAGAATTAACGAACCAGTGGGACCAAACGACATCGTGACATCGGTGAGATCGTGCTCAAGTTGGCTTCATGCTGGATGCGAACACTCACCACATTGCCTGGCAAAAGGCATTCTGCCGTAGTCTTTTTTGGTTTGCTACTGCTACTACTGTCTCAAGCCTCGTGCCAATGTCATGTTGCAGCTGCTATTTCTCCAGCTTCGCAACCAGCAGCAGAGTAGGCAACAAAAAACATCTTTGTGCAAATTATTTTTTCTTTCAAACTCGCAAGAATTCTTCTTAAAATATCAGGCCAATCAACTGTACACACCGGCAACGCAAAAACAAGCCAATGATATGAAAAGGCCTACCAATGCCCAACAAGATTGTTTCCCACGTAAGACAGGATTATACAATTTCCATCAGCTGGGCAGAAGGATCAAAAAGTTCTGTGCAGCCAAGTAGCTCGTGGTTTTGGTCCGAAAATGCCCATGAATGCGACAGCTTCAGCAATCTGATCAGCAACCCATTGGGCCCGAGTCATCTGCCGATCATCTATGTACATCAGGCTATTTTTGAACACGAATTGATTCTGATAGATGCCTCGTTCGTTGTTCTGCGGCGCTGGTGGCCACTCATCACAGAGCCTAATCGGAAACAAGGGCAACTGGTGGTCATGAGCAAATTCAAGCTCATGGAAAGTTTCATATCCTACACCAGTGTATGCACCATATTCCGAGGTGCAGAATGCTACCATGCCTTTGGCACGGAGCAATCCTATCCGCGTCAGGTCAGCAAAACTTTGGCCGACGGTTGCTTCAACCACGAAAACCGGTATGTTTCGAGCTTCCAGCTGCTTCTTCACTGCCCTCATATACGCAATAATCCTCAGTCATCAACCCCATGAAGCATTGGAAATCTTGACTATGTCGCCCCCTGTTCAAAGCAGATCCGATCCCCAAAACCACACATTAAAACACATCAATCAATAACTGTTTGAGGCAAGAATCTCATCATTGTTGAAGCGTGCGCTCAACAACAAGTGTCCTTGCGGTGCCGCCGCCTAAGAACTGGCAGTGCAGCTTCCAAAGCGTCAGTCATAGACACACTGAGGTTTCGAATGGTGGGTAAAGACAAGTACAATGTCCACAGGTACCCAAAATCCTGAATCAATGGAGTGATCCGAAACAAGAAGATGTGAAGTTGTGATATTTCGTTTTTTTCCTTTTCGGACGAGAGTCCTGATTTTCTTCTGAAAAGCAATCATTGTGCTTCTTTTTCCTTTGCTGGTTTCTATTTGGACAGAAGGCCAGAAATCTCCGCACTGATCATTGCAAGGATGATGCCAGGACATCCTATGAAAGCAGCATGCAATGATGTTTCCAAAGTCCGTTGGACCACTCTCAGGGCGTCCTGTTTGAAAACAAAGAGATTCAGAAACTACCTGTATACTACTGTATGCCTCTTCAACCAGTTAAATGAGAAATATAGGAAGTCTTTGCCAGCTGCACATTCTGTCATTCTCTATCTCGCCTGGTTGTGCGTGTCAAAACTAGCAGGTAGAAATATTTATTTTATATTAAACACATATAGAATGAATAGTCTTATGTGCACCTTAACCTTGATATGTGCAATTCAGCCGTTTAGTAATTCATACAGAAGATGTTGTTTTCGGCCGTTGATTTTGATACTGTAATCGATGCTTGTGAATCTAAGGCTTCATGTTCTAAGGTTTCAGAAGCAACTTTAAGCACTTTTTCCGTTTATAAGCCTTTCTAGAAGGTGGCGAGAAATGCAGACAAGCATAGAAACTTCATTTTCTAAGGTTTCAGAAGCAACGTTAAACAGTTAAACACTTCTCCCGTTTATAAGCCTTTCTAGAAGGTGGCAAGAAGTGCGGAAAAGGAGAAACACTTCATTTTATAAGGTTTCAGAAGCAACCTTAGGCACTTTTCCCGTTTATAAGCCTTTCTGGAATGCAGCAACACATGCGGAAAGCCCCCACTCCCTAACGCCCCAGAAGCAACGTTAAACACTTTTCCCGTTTATAAGCCTTTGTAGCGCTGTCAATAAATGATCAAATTCACAAACTTTCTTGCGTGTGCTTCACACAACAAATGGGTTTAGGTTTTTGCATGTTTTTGCAACTCTTGGCCCTAATTATGATAAAAACAAGCGATGGTTGATGAGTGGGCTAATAGATGGCTTTCAAACAACTAGCTACTCGAAACTGTTTATTGAAAAGGATTTGCTCTAAATACTGATCATTTGTTACACATGACAGCGATTGATCTTCATGGCTGATTGTTCAACTTAACGGTTCATCCAATAATCAAAAAATACATGGATAGTTCCAAGACTGCTATGATGGCTGGTGAGTTCATAACTTTGAGATTGTACCTCCTAGTGGCCAAAGAACACCAAGAGAAAACCCGGGCAGCCAGGCACACAAGGCAAAACAAGCGGTTGGGACAAAGGCCGCGCAACACCAGCCAAGGAAGAAAATGAACAAAGATGGAAAATAATAGAACACAAAAATGTGTCTCACAGCCACCATTCATGACGATTCTTGACCATTCTTGTTGCTCATTACCCTAAACAAATCTCCGCCGACACCGGCAGACGCAAGGGGGAGCGCGTCAGGGCAGAGAGGTTGTGAATTGTGAACAACAACAACAACAACAACAACAACAACAAGCAACAGCAACAGCAACAACAACAAGAAATTATGACACAGCAGCCAGGAGCCAGCAGCCAGCAGGCGGCAGCCGCCAGTCAGGAGGCAGCAGCAGCAGCAACAGAAGCAACAGCAACAACAGCAACAACATCAACAACAGCAACCTACTACTACTACACCAGCAGCCACCAGCAGCAGCAGCAGCAAAAGCCTCTGCAGCAGAAGGAGGAAAAGGTAGCTAAAATCATCATTTTGTATGGGTTTCAGAAGTTACGTTAGGCATATTTGGGGTGCAATTTTGAAGCTTCTCCGTCCTTCACTGCCATGGTGTTTTCCCATCCAGGGGCTGTCTTTTGAACAGGCAGCAGCAGCAGCAGCAGCAGGGGACATGCCCAAATGTCTATCATCCAGGATCGCTAAGACCCCTTTGCGCCTGATCAAGAACCTCTACATTGTGAATCCACATATTCACCAGGTGGTTTTGATTGTTTGCTGGTAATCTATCAGCCCATTAAACTAGTGACCCGTTCAGTCCGCTTGTACCTCACAGCCACCATTAATGATGACCATTTTTGTGGCTCATGACCCCAAATAAACTACCAACCTGTAACCTGCAGAAATTGGCGCCCAACTGCCCCCGAGAAAAAACCAAGGCACCACAGCATCCAGCGCTACCAACAGGCCGTCGATCGCCTTATGCGACCCAGCTCCGCCAGTTACCTTGGGCGCAACTGCGGCTGTGGGCATCATCCCTGGCGCCTCACAACAAGCCGCACAGCCCAGCTTGGAAGATGGGGAAACAAAATCGTAACAGCTGCTGTGGGCGCAGCTCTTTGGACGAGGAACATCAACCACTGGGAACAACCAACATCAACTAGCGCTGTCAATAAATGATCCAATTCACAAATTTTCTTACCTCTAGCATTTATTGATTTACGTTTTCCAATTATTAACCCTCATTATGATTAAGACTAAAATAAATGGTTGTTGTCAACATTGGCTTGATATGTGGGCTGATAGATGGTTTTCAAACCAAAAAACAAGGTGTCCATACATGCCCCTATCTGACTCCCCAGAAGTTATGCTGAACTACCCACCCACTCACAATCTGTCACAATCTAACTAAGTCATGGGCACCGGACATTTAGGGGGTACACAACGCGCGGGCGTGCCCAAATGTCAACTCATCATCGCTAGAACCCTGTTCGCATGCTTAAAAACGACGCCGTCAGGGCAGAGAGGTTGTGAATTGTGAACAACAACAACAACAACAACAACAACAACAACAACAACAACAACAACAACAACAACTACAACTTCTTGAAGAATCTATGACACAGCAGCCAGGAGCCAGCAGCCAGCAGGCGGCAGCCGCCAGTCAGGAGGCAGCAGCAGCAGCAACAGAAGCAACAGCAACAACATCAACAACAGAAACCTACTACTACTACTACTACTACTACTACTACTACTACTACTACTACTACTACTACTACTACTACTACTACTACTACTACACCAGCAGCCACCAGCAGCAGCAGCAGCAAAAGCCTCTGCAGCAGAAGGAGGAAAAGGTAGCTAAAATCATCATTTTGTATGGGTTTCAGAAGTTACGTTAGGCATTTTTGGGGTGCAATTTTGAAGCTTCTCCGTCCTTCACTGCCATGGTGTTTTCCCATCCAGGGGCTGTCTTTTGAACAGGCAGTAGCAGCAGCAGCAGCAGTGGACATGCCCAAATGTCTATCATCCAGGATCGCTAAGACCCCTTTGCGCCTGATCAAGAACCTCTACATTGCGAACCCACATATTCACCAGGTGGCTTGGATTGTTTATGTGCATCTTAACCTTGATATGTGCAATTCAGCCGTTTAGTAATTCATACAGTAGATTTTGTTTTCGGCTGTTGATTTTGATACTGTAATGGATGCTTGTGAATCTAAGGCCACCCCTACAACATCGATAATTTTATCATATACTATATATATACGTATATAAATATAACCCTGCGAACCAAAGACCTCGTTAAACTTGATCGTTTCAATGAACATGTTTTACTTGTAATAGACTGCAGTGGACAAATGCGTGTTTTATCGACAAATCACTGCAAATCATTCTCCCAACTGGTTGAGTTCCAGGGCTCTTGGTATCAATTTATATCAATTTCATTGTTTGCAATCGCCCTTTACAGCTGCCCACAGCCCGTGAACGTCCCGTCAACAACCCGAAACGAGCCGTGAAACACCCTTGAATCATCCGTGAACGACCCGTGAACCACCCATGAACCACCCGGGAACCACCCGTGAACCACCCGTGAGACCAGTGTGTTAGAGACACAAATAAGCCCAAAGAATATCCCCAACAGCAAGAAAGCAGCGGCCGTAGATCCCAAACAGTAATTCCATATCAGCGTGGTAGTTTTTGTTTCATGACCAAGCAATGCAGTGCATTTTTGCGCCGTCCTGCCCGCCGGCCTCCCCTACTACTACTACAACTACAACTACAACTACAACAACTACTACTACTACTCCTACTACTACTGCTACTGCTACTGCTACTGCTACTGCTACTGCTACTGCTACTGCTACTGCTACTACTACTCCTACTACTACTACTACTACTCCACTACTCCTCCTCCTCCTCCTACTACTACTACTACTCCTACTACTACTGCTACTGCTACTGCTACTGCTACTGCTACTGCTACTGCTACTGCTACTACTACTCCTACTACTACTACTACTACTACTACTAGTAGTACTCCTACTACTACTACTACTACTACTACTACTACTACTGCTGCTACTACTACTACTACTCGTACTACTAGTACCTAGTACTACTAGTACTTTACTTACTTACTTACTTACTCACTCACTCACTTACTCACTTACTCACTTACTCACTTACTCACTTACTCACTTACTCACTTACTCACTTACTCACTTACTCACTTACTCACTTACTCACTCACTCACTTACTTACTTACTTACTTTACTTACTTTACTTACTAACTAACAAACAAACTAACTAACTAACTAACTAACTAACTACCTACTACCACCACTACTACCACTACTACCACTACTACCACTACTACCACTACTACCACTAATACCACTACTACCACTACTACCACTACTACCACTACTACCACTACTACCTACTACCTACTACTTACTACCTACTACCTACTAGGTACTACGTACTACTTACTACTGACTACTTACTACTTACTACTTACTACTTGCTACTTACTGCTTACTGCTTACTGCTTAATGCTTCCTGCTTACTGCTTACTGCTTACTGCTTACTGCTTACGGGTCCCGGATTCCAGAATCCACCTGTCCATTCTAGGTATAAATCAAGGCTTGAAAAACTATACAGATTTGTTTCGTCTCTGGACTTTCTTTAGATCAGACCTTTTCGATGTGAATAGTTTTGGTATGAGTTGTACATTTCTCGCTTGTCTACACGGATGTATTTTTGAAATACGTTCTTTCTTTCAAAAAAATAATTACATCAAGACACAGGTAATCGATGATGGAAAATATATTCTGCATGTCTTGGCATGGATAATGATATGTATATTGTCACCAGGTACATGTCTCTTGTACGCATGGCACTCAGGTGCAACTACACTTACGTGACTTTTTACCTCATGTTTTCATGCTATGCCGCTTTTTTTCCCGAGAGCGTCTGAGCGCAGGGTTCTTCCAATAGTGGGGGTCTGTATCTTATCTTCTCATCTTCACATCTTCTCATCTTCACATCTGTATCTCATCTTCTCATCTTCACATCTTCTCATCTTCACATCTGTTCATCTTCACATCTGCTCATCTTCACATCTGCTCATCTTCACATCTGCTCATCTTCACACCTTCTTTCACATCTTCTCATCTTCACATCTGCTCATCTTCACATCTTCTCTCACATCTGCTCATCTTCACATCTGCTCATCTTCACATCTGCTCATCTTCACATCTGCTCATCTTCACATCTGCTCATCTTCACATCTGCTCATCTTCACATATCTTCACATCTTCTCTCACATCTTCTCTCACATCTGCTCATCTTCACATCTGCTCATCTTCACACCTTCTCTCACATCTGCTCATCTTCACATCTGCTCATCTTCTCTCACATCTCTCTCCTTTTTCTCTCTCTCGCCTTCTTTTTATCTTTCTCTCTTAAGGCCGAGGGTGGTGCCGGCGGCGAGTCACGAAACGTCAACCCTTTCGCACGAAATGAGGGTCGATCGGCAAAAACTGAGGTAAAATTGCGATTTTACGTGTGCTAAAGCAACCCTTTCGCACGAAATGAGGGTCGATCGGCAAAAACTGAGGTAAAATTGCGATTTTACGTGTGCTAAAGCAACCCTTTCGCACGAAATGAGGGTCGATCGGCAAAAACTGAGGTAAATTGCGATTTTACGTGTGCTAAAGCAACCCTTTCGCACGAAATGAGGGTCGATCGGCAAAAACTGAGGTAAAATTGCGATTTGACTTGTCCTGGAGCAACCCTTTCGCACGAAATGAGGGTCGATCGGCAAAAACTGAGATAAAACTACGATTTTACTTGTCCTGGAGCAACCCTTTCGCACGAAATGAGGGTCGATCGGCAAAAACTGAGGTAAAACTGCGATTTTACTTGTGCCGTTCTTGTCTGTGTGTAAAAGCGCCTGTGTGTAAAAAGCGTCTGTGTGTAAAAGTCTCTGTGTGTAAAAGCGTCTGTGTGTAAAAGCGTCTGTGTGTAAAAGTGTTTGTGTCAAAGTGTTTGTGTCAAAGTGTTTGTGTAAAAGCCTCTGTGTGTACATGTGTTTGTGTGTGACAGCGTCTGTGTGTAAAAAGCGTCTGTGTGTAAAAAGCGTCTGTGTGTAAAAGTGTCTGTGTGTAAACATGTCTATGTGTAAAAGTGTCCGTGTAAAAGCCTCTGTGTGTAAATGTGTTTGTGTGTGAAAGCGTTTGCGTGTAAAAAGCGTCTGTGTGTAGAGGTTGTCTGTGTGTAAAAGCGTCTGTGTGTCAAAGCGTTTGCGTGTAAAAGCGTCTGTGTGTAAAAGTGTTTGTATGTAAAAGCTTCTGTGTGTAAAAGTGTTTGTGTCAAAGTGTTTGTGTCAAAGTGTTTGTGTAAAAGCCTCTGTGTGTACATGTGTTTGTGTGTGACAGCGTCTGTGTGTAAAAAGCGTCTGTGTGTAAAAAGCGTCTGTGTGTAAAAGTGTCTGTGTGTAAACATGTCTGTGTGTATGTGTAAAAGTGTCCGTGTAAAAGCGTCTGTGTGTCAAAGCGTCTGTGTGTAAAAGCGTCTGTGTGTAAAAGCGTCTGTGTGTAAAAGTGTTTGTGTGTAAAAGTGTTCTGTGTGTAAAAGCGTCTGTGTGTAAAAGCGTCTGCGTGTAAAAGCGTCTGTGTGTAAAAGAGTTTCTGTGTAAAAGTGTTTGTGTGTAAAAGTGCCTGTGTGTAAAAGCGTCTATGTGTAAAAGCTTCTGTGTGTACAAGCATTTGTGTGTAAAAGCAACTCCTGTGTGTAAAAGGGTCTGTGTGTAAAAGTGTCTGTGTGTAAACGTATCTGTGTGTAAACGTGTCTGTGTAAAAGCTTCTGTATGTAAAAGCTTCTGTGGGTAAAAGCTTTCTGTGTAAAAGTGTCTGTGTAAAAGCTACTGTGTGTAAAAGCTTCTCACTATTTGGTCTTGATACTCCTCTTCTCGACTGCCTATAACACATCTTTCATACATCGTTTCTAAAATTGCGTCTCCATACT